CCTCAGTTTTCTCTGACAAAAGGAGCAATGCTGATAGTTTTGTTCTGAAGATTAAGTGAGAGAATTAATGTAGGGCACATGGTACTTAGAAAGGTCTAATTAAAGGATTCGCTGCTCTTTAAAGAAGCCAGCAATAAAGAGGCATCCCTCCTTCCCTTCCTTTATTTTTTACTTTCAATACCAAACTTTGTGGAGCATCCACAAGGCACCAGGCTCTGTGGTAGGTGCTGGGCATTTCACAATGAACCAAGTAGACATACATGGATGAAACAGAGACATTGGGTGAGTGATTGAGAAGTGGTATGAAAAATTCCTCAATCCCTGGGGTGGAACACAGTGGTCAGACAGAGCTTCCCTGGGGTAATGTCTTTAAAGTATGACCTTTGATGGTGACCCCAAAGCCCAGAGAGGCCTCCCAGGCTGAGTCCAGGCTGAGTTTTGGGGAGACACCTCCAAGCCAGCTGCCATTGGCCTTGTCCCTTCACTCAGATCTTCACCTCTGTGGTGAGGCTTAGGGGGAGATGAGAAAAAAGCGAGGCATTGGCCATCAAGCTTCTAGGTGGGAATAAGAAGCCCTTTGCACAGTAAGCCTACCTACAGGGACACATTACAGAGGCCAGCTGACCAAGGGTCCAGGAACTGCTGATTACTCTGCGAGCTGAGGGCAAGCCCCGTACCTGGGATGGGCTTCCACTTCTCTGCCTGGGCAGTGGGCCCCACATACCTCCTGGGCTGGGGAATGGGCTCTCTCCCAACTTCACTGTCTGCTTCTACGTGATGACAGCCTGGAGCAGCGTGTGCTAATCAAATGTGGATGTGCGCATGGGCGCCTGAGGCCGCCATCTTGCCGGGTGGGCAGGCGTCCTCTGGGATCAACCTCCAGTACTACACAGATGGTGCCAGCGTCAGACCAATTCTCCCCATCTTTCACCATCTTTATCTTCCTGAAAAATCGTGGGGAAAGCCCACTGGAGAAGTTGTCAGGGGTACACCTGTGTCATCCAGAGAACACTGTTCCATGCCCTGTATGGAGATACACAGAGGCGAGGGGACCTGAGCATGCTAGAATTAATAGGGAGTGACGAGAGGCATCTGATTCAAAGCATCACAGTTTTGAGGATTTCTGGTTACTAAAGGAGCTCTTAAATTGCGGTGGGAATGTCATCTCTTGTGAACCCCCTCCTTTTTCAGAGAAAGGAAATAAGGCCCAGCAGCATGGGGTGGGGATGGTGACTTCTCCCAGGCAAGTTCATCCAGCAAACTGAGCCCAAATCTGGTTCCAGGGCCCTGGTGATTCACAGTGTCACGCACCCCCCCCTCCCCCACCTCCAGCCCCTGAAATGTGACTACTGTTGATGAAGTTATTTTCATTCAGAATAAGTTGCTATCACCATTATATCCATTATATCCCCCATCCCAACCCTATTGGAGTCAGTGATTTCCATTCACCACTCACACTCCAGGTAAATATTTCCCTCTAAACTTCTGAAGCTGCCGCCTCAAGGTTCTCATTTCCCTTAATGTGTTTCCTCCTGGTTCCATTGAAAACGCTCTCTCTGCCCTTCCTCTGCCTCCTGGGGCTCAGCCACCTCTTAGTCCTGGCTCCATGTGCTCAGTGTCACAGTCTGGCCTTTGCTTACTATTTCCTTCATCTCTCAACTGCAAACAGGGGTGCACTGAGCCATGGTCCCAAGCCAGGAAGGTTCTGAACTGAGGGCACCCTACAGATGTGTAAACATTTTACCTTGCTAACCCTGCTAGCCGCCTTCCAAAGACAACAGGAAAACCAGGGACTGAGAGCCCCTGGCAAAATAAAAACCTGCAGAGACAGAAAGCGGGTGGGGGGGGGGGGGAAAGGATCCCGTTTCAGATGTTCATTTCCTCATTAGAAGAATTTTCTGTTCAAGTGTAGGGGCTTTGTGTTAGCCAGGGGAGGAGGAGATGGTGAGTTTAGAGGTGAGGTGGGGAACTCAAGAGTGGGGGCTCTAGGAACCATTGTTCTCCTTATTTCCCATATTGGGCTAATTCCAAATTATTATTCCAAATCTGGGGTCAGAGCCTTGGCTCGGGGGGAAGGGGCAGTGTGGAGGTGCAGTCTCCTGCTAGCAGTTAGCCCCACTGGGATTTATGATTTCTGAGTAGGCTTACCAGGAGATTGCAAGAGAACTGGTGCTTTTTTGAACCTTCGTCGTACTTGCTCTTGATACATGATCAAGATGCCCTCAGGGTACCGTCTCTTTCTGACCTTTCTGTGTTTTGCTTCTTGTCGTTTTCTACTTTTCGCCCTTAACATTATTCCTAGACCTTCCAGCATCCGAAAAAGAAACTGCCATTTGAAGAGCCACCGTGTGCCACGTGTGGTGTATCTGCTATGGCTTTTCAGTATGACCATATACTTAAAGAGAGTTACAGATGAGGGAAGTAAGATCCACAGAGGTTGGGGGATTTGGCCCAAATGTACAGCTAGTAATTGCTATCATCAGAATGACCCCGAGTCCAGAGGCCCTACTCTGCCTACCCTACTGAGAACACACTCTGTCTTCTGAACCTCTCTGTCCTCTAGCCATAGAGACATAAACCAGTGCTTTTGATCCCACTAATCATTCATGTGCTCATTCATGAAACAGTAAGTGCGCGCTGTAGGCAAGGCGTGGAGTGAGCTGTTGACAGAACACAGATGACCCAGACAGAGCCATCCCTTTCAAAAAAAGCATCCAGTCTGGGTGGAAGAGGGTGTGGTAAGATGACTTGAAAACCAGAAAGCACGTGTACAGTTTCCTAAAAGTAAAATGAGTTCAGAGAAGAGAATGACCATTACTTATAGGGCTATCAGGGAGAGCTTCTTGGAAGAGGTGGTTTCTGTTTTAGTCATTGGAAAACTTAGAATCACAGAAAGCAGACAGTCCAAGCATGTGAGGGGATCTTCATTCAAGGCCTTTCTTTACCAGGTGGAGAACTGAGACCCAGAAGAGATTCTTGAGGCTTCACCAAGGTTGCTCAGCCTGTGAGAAAAGGTTGACTGAGAGGACATTCTGGCCATTTCCTGAAGGGCAGTCAGGCAATGTGTGGGAGGAGAGGTAGAGATGAACTTACATGCCTGGCGCCACAACTGTTATCCATGTCAATAGCGAACGGAGAGATTTACACAAATTCTAGGGCCCCAGTGCCCACAAAGGAGTAAAGACTGTGTGGACCCTCTTTTATTGGCTTTTTCTGGAAGCTCATTTGATGAGTGCTAATGGTAGATGCACACTTAGAGTTAAAGTGACCACAACAATTTTCCAGCTAAAAGTAGGCCCTGACCTAAATGAGCATCTTCCATTAATTCTTGTATCACCTCTCTTTATCCTACCACCCGTATCATGCATCATCCAACATTTAAAATATACTCTTACTTAGAAAGCCCTCTTCTCCACCCATGGCACAGACAGCCATGGGCACAGGTATATTCCAGAAAGGTTGGGGAGTGGGGGTTGGTAAGTGGAAAGATGATTAGATCCAGAGAGAATCTGTTAAGTTACTTCTTGGATTTCCTAGAGTAAGTCTAGAGATGTCCCGGCTTGAAACTTTCCCAAACATCTGACTGAACAAACACTGTGTTTCCCAAACACTTGTGCCATCCCCATGCAGATGGCATGGTTCAGATGCCCAGGGCCATTGATGAGGGAGAGGCAAGTGCTGAGGACCGGGAATCCCAGGGTCTGATGGATTCAGGATCTATTTACCAACCAGTTGGCCTTAAATTTATCTATCTTCTTTAACTTCCATGTACTCCTTGGGACTATTACATATATTAAAGGAATTAATGCACACATAGACCTTAGCACAATGTTTGACCTGCCACTAAGGCTTTGTAGATTGTACTTACTGTTGTTAACTATTATGTAGAGGTCCTCAACACCTGCTTATGTTAAAAGGCTGCTCATTTTATTTGTTTAAATATTAACTTTTGTGTTAGAGGAGAACAAGCTGTATTGGGTCTCAGGAAATTGGTCCATGACTCTGTGTAACCTGACAAATGCCTTCTACTCTCTGGGTCTCAAGACTCTGAGCTGTCATGTGAAGGAGTTGAAAGTGGTGATCTCTGAAAACCTTTCAGTTCAGCCAGTCAGCATTGCTGCCTTTCTTTGGGATAAGTGTAAGGTCTGACCAGACTCCTGTTAGAGATAGAAACAATGGAGTTCTTGTCCCCAGCTCTGCAGGCCAGCTTTCCCAACAATTCACCACCACTGCGCACTGGATGGCTGGCTGCTCACGTCTGATGACTCCAAGTTATGGCAACCATAGGAAGAGCTGTCCTACTAAACGAACACCTATTCATTATTATCTTCCTCTGTTTCTCCTCTGACCTCCCTCCCATATAATTTCATACTTAAAATACTCTATTAATTAAGAAAGCCTCTTTCTCATAGAACAGCTTTGCAAAATCAAAGGTTTTCGGATTTGAATGATCATTAGTGGTGGTGTTGTCATTGTTTTCTTCAGCTCAAGTACCCATTCTTCAAACAAAAATGTTTCTCTGTGTGTTCCACATGCAAAACCAATAAAAATACATTGGGTTACAGTTATGGTGAGAAACCCCCAAACCCAACTCCCCTGTCCTCTCAGTTTCTCTAGCCCTTGCCTTGGCCTGGGCGTGGTCCCAGCAGCTCCAGTAGTAACTGCCAATTTGAAGATGATTGGTCTAGGACCATGTTCGGCAAACTGCAGCTCTCAAGCCACAGTTGGCTCTTTAGTTCCTTGAGTGTGGCTCTTCCACAAAATACCACGGCCTGGACGAGTCTATTTTGAAGAAGTGGCATTAGAAGAAGTTTAAGTTTAAAAAATTTGGCTCTCAAAAGAAATTTCAATCGTACTGTTGATATTTGGCTCTGTTGACTAATGAGTTTGCCGACCACTGATCTAGGACATCCTGGTATAAATTTTATCACTACGAAATAACATCCCCTTCTTTCTCTCCATCCTTTATTTATTCATCTTTCTTTTTTGGGGCCACATAGGGCTGTATGACAAGTGCTCTTATACCTCACGTGACCGAGGATGGGTCGTGGGCATTCACACCGTCAGTGACCAAGGCAACAAAGACCCACGCTACTTTTTCTCCTTGAAGACAGACCGGGCCCGGCAAGTAACCACCATCAATGCCCACCAAAGCTACCTCCCTGGCCAGTGGGTATTCCTAGCTGCCACCTACGACGGGCGGCTGATGAAGCTCTATGTGAATGGTGCCCAGGTGGCAACCTCTGGGGATCAGGTGGGTGGCATATTCAGCCCATTGACCCAGAAGTGTAAAATACTTATGTTGGGGGGCAGCACCCTGAATCACAACTACCGGGGCTACATTGAGCGCTTCAGTCTGTGGAAGGTGGCCAGGACCCAGCGGGAAGTCCTGTTGGACATGGAAACCCATGGCCTCCACACGCCTCTACCTCAGCTCCTCCTACAGGAGAACTGGGACAATGTGAAGCGCACCTGGTCCCCCATGAAGGATGGCCACAGCCCACAGGTGGAGTTCAGCGGTGCCCACAGCTTCCTGCTGGACACCAGTTTGGAGCCCCCTCTGTGCGGGCAGACTTTGTGTGACAATGCACAAGTCATCGCCAGCTACAACCAGCTGCCGCGCTTCCGCCGGCCCAAGGTGGTGCGCTACCGTGTGGTCAACCTCCATGACGACGGCCAGGAGAACCCCACGGTGAGCCGCCAGCAGATCGAGCTCCAGCACCAGCAGTTGGCCGAGGCCTTCCAGCCCTACAACATCTCCTGGGAGCTGGAGGTGCTGGAGGTGAGCAACTCCTCCCTGCGCCGCCGCCTCATCCTGGCCAACTGTGACATCAGCAAGATCGGGGACGATAACTGCGACCCCGAATGCAACCACACACTGACAGGCCACGATGGCGGGGACTGCCGCCACTTACGCTACCCTGCCTTCCTGAAGAAGCAGCAGAACGGGGTGTGTGACATGGACTGTAACTATGAACGGTTCAACTACGATGGTGGTGAGTGCTGTGATCCCGACATCACGGATGTCACCCAGACCTGCTTCGATCCTGACTCTCCACACAGGTAAGACCCGCTGGGCAGGTGGTGATGCCCATCTGAAAGCTGAGCTTCCCCCATTTTATAGGCATGTGCCCTGAGGCCCTTGGGGGTCCCGGGAATTTTCCAGCTCACACAGCAGCCTTGTGACTGAGACCAGGCTGTTACTCCTGTGATCATGGGGACCAAATCGAGCATCGTCCATTACAAAAATGTGTTGACTGCCTACTCTGGGATAAGAAGAAATGGTCAGGACCCTGTCGTCTCAAAGAGCTCACAGTCTAAATTGGGTGGCATGAGCTGGGTACAAACAGCTATTGAAGCATATGTTGTAGAGTGGGCTAGAGTTGTGCTGTCCAGCCACCTGTGACTATTCACATGTAAATTAAGATGAAATAAAACTGAAAATTTCCTAAGCCACACTAGCTGCATTTCAAGTACACAGTAGTCGTATAGGGCTCCCATACTGAACAGAGCAGTGTGGTCAGTTGGGCAATGTGAATGAAGCTGGGGTCAGATCGCAGTGGTACTATTTCCTCACTTGGTGACCTCTTGGAAGCCACTTACTCATCTGTGCAAGGAGAATAATCATGGTGCTCACTCTGCTGAGCTGCTCTGAGGACTGAGAGGGCATGCAGGTGGGGAAAAATAGGATCACAGTTGTTTGCATAGAAAAAAGCATGCAGGTTATGGTCATAATACCACAAAAATAAACTGTGTTTCACCTACAACCGTAAACCTCCTTTTGTCCACCTCTGTATAAAGCATCGTCTCTTTGTAGTTGCTAGCAGGTAACATGCGCTCATTGAGTGTATCTGTCATTCTTTGTATGATAAAGGAGGGCAGATACTGTGTTCAGGGAGTGCCATAGGATGTCACAGAGAAGACTCACTTGCAGCATCAGTGTCGGGAAGGTGCAGGTACAACTTGCACATCAAAAACCAGATTGGGGAAGAAAGGAAGGCTCTTGAGCAGAGGTACTTCTTCCTGTCCTGCTGAGAAGAGGGTAGAAGAAGGGTCTTCTATCTAATGCCCCCCTTAGCCTCTGTCTTATGGTATCAACTCTAACCAGGAACATGAAGGAGAAACCCAAAGGTGAACCCCTGGGTGATTTATAGTCTCTGTGAGACCAGGAAGAACTAGTTCCAATCCAGAGAAACGGCATCCACTTTCCGGATGTCCCAGATTCGGGCTGAACTTTTCCATTCTGTCTGCATGTAGGACCCTAGACCTGCTGATAGCCCGGGTGCATTTGCAGACCTCGGCAGGTTTTCTGCTGACTCTCCTCTTTATGTCTCTCTCCAAAGAGCAAGGGCCGCCCATGTACAGATAGAATACCTATGTGCAAAGGAATGACGATGCCTGGCAGAGAGCCAGAGAGCACGTCAGCTCAGCCTCCTGGCACCAGGAGGGCCCTGGACTCTCACTTTGGCTCAACACATGAGCAGCCCATGTGGGAAGCAGCCGTGGTGTGTGGTCAGCTCCTTCCAGGTCATGACACCCTTTCATCTCTGCTCTCATTTGGGCTTTGACAGAATTTGGCCAGGAAGACAAGACAGAGGTTAGTTAGCATTTGCATTTGATGGACAGGAAAAGAGAAGAACTTCGAGAGTGAAATGACTCAGCCAAGGTCATGGGTCAGAAAAGTAATTTGGTTAAGTCACAAATGCAAGTCTTCCGAGATTAATGCAATGTGTCCTCTGCTGAGCTAGACTTCCCAGGACTTACCAGTGTACCCAGGAAGAGTGGGCATGGGGAAGGGCAAAGGATCAGAAATAGGTAGAAGTCATTCACCCATTTATTCACTCATTCAGTCATTCATTCATCCATCCATTATGGCATCCATGCAGCACATGTTTATTTAGAACCTACCAAGTCCCAAGAAGGCAGGTAGCCTGAGCCCTCTTTTGCTGAAGGAAATCCAGGATTCAGAATGGTGAAGGGATTGACCCAAATTTACTCAACTACTCAATGGAGAGCTTGGATTTGAACTCAGATACATGGATTCCAGAACTCCCACCAAAGGAGGGTATTTTTAAGTCCAAGGAACAATAAGTGGCAGTGTTAAAAGACAGGGTTGGCAGGCAGGACAGCTTCTCTAAAGCCTTGGGAGAAAACTGTTGAGTGGGATTGGGTGAGGACAGAAGGCAGCTGGCCTTTGTGGAGGGCACACTGTGTGTGTGTGTGTGTGGGGGGGGGGGAGGGTTAGGGGGGAATCGTGGGACTCTAGGTCCCAGATACCTCACCATCAGCAGGCAAAGCTGGCAGGCTCCAGTGGCCTCCCCTTTCCTAAGTCATGGGACTGCATGCCCAGCGTGCCTGTGAGTGGCTCTGTGCCAGTGCTGTAACCAATAATGCCAGGGCCTATTTCTTTGCTGGCTCAGAAAGTTGTGTGCCGCTATTTCCTGGCGGGTTAGAGGTGGCAGCCTTCTGGTGGAATCAGGTCTCCTGTGTGCAGAGAGAAACCTGTGGAAGTTTGTAGAGAAATACTTTGTGACTATTCAAAATGAAGGTAAGCAGAAGAAATGACAGAAGGAAGACTGGCACCTGTGATAGAGGCGGTGAAAATTGGAATGACATTATGTAGGTAATTTGTAATAAAGTGCTCAACTTAATTCTTGCCCAAGGTGATTCATTCTCATTATTTCTCTTCCTTCCCATCCCCTCCCCTTCTCTCCTCTCCCTCTTCCTTTTTCCCTCCCTCTCCCTCTCTCCCCCTCCTCCTCTCCCTTTCTGAGTAAAGACAATATTTAAATTGCTTCTTCTCAATCTATAGTGAAGGGCCAGGTTTTATTTTTTTCTATATGCTATAATACAGTACCTTTATAATATACAGCAAAAGTGAACTGACATATAATTAAATACCACAAGCATGGTGAAGCAGCTTCTGAGTTCTGTACAAGTATCTAAGGGCTCACTCCCCATTTCTGTACTCACTGTGCAATAGACTGGTAAGAAATAATTGGTCCATTGCCTACTCTGAGTAGCCCCAATGAAATTTAATCATTGTGACAATTTATGTAGCAATTCTCTTGAGTAAAATAAGATCCACCCATAATGCAGTTGGGCAGATTGGCAGACTCCATCAGAGAAGTACAATGTCTTTCAACACATTTAAACTCACTTGTTATCTAATAGTCCTTGGGTCCCTGTGTTATAGGAGAGCGTCCAGCTCTAGCAGATCTGGGGCTGTAGACTCAGAAACATTCTCTATAGAGGGAACTGAAGGCCAAAGTTGACACGGCCTCTTAGTGGTCACGCTGGGATTAAGGGGACTGGAGATCCCTGCATCCTGGTTGTCTGACATGCACAGCTCCCCAGCGCTGCCTGGACATCCTTACAGGCCACAGAGATCTGCTCTTCACCTTCTATTCTTACTCTCTTCTTCCCAACTGCTCTAGAGAGCTTGGGATTATGGAGTGCTGAAGGACTGGGTTTGGAGAACTGGATAATGGCCTTAAGTTTCCCTGAGCCACACAGGCAGCAAGTTTTCCTTATTAAGAGGCTATGATAAGCACAGTCAACTGAGGAAGAGGACAAAGAAGGGGACTGGGACAGTGAGGGGGCCAGGAGCAGTGTCATGTAACCATTTGAAGATGTTTGGCGTGGATGAGAAAAGTCTCACAAGGACCACAGGCCCATGACACATACACTTCAAGTATCAGAAGCCATGTTCTATGGAAAACGGCGCAGAATTACTCCGTATGGTTTGGTGCCGGAGTGTTGCAATCATGGAAGGCAGTGTTGAACTGAGTAACAGGCAAGGCCTTTTTCTTATGAGAATGGACCTTCCAGGGGAGTAATTCTCAGCAGGTGAGTGAGCTCCCCATCATCTGAGGCATGCACATGGAGGCTATAGCCAGGGTTATGGCAAATGGTGGAGAAGGTGGCCTTGATGGTCTTGGGGTTGAATAACTACACAGCCCAACTTTATGCTTATATCTTATTCCGAGTCATTTTAGGGAACCACATGGTGAGTGTTTCTATCCTTTAAATAGGCATTTATTGGGCACGTCTCCCTCAGCTGGCCTCTCTGCTATTCACTAGGGACGTTGGCAGTAAGGGAGGCATATTCCTCAGCATTGAAGGGCCTCCACTTTAGTGGGGGAGTCTTATTCAAACAAGACATCCTGAGGTGTGGTTTTAGTGACAGACAGTGGCAGGAGACCTAAGAAGCAGAGATTGATTCTGTCTGGGGAAAACAAAGCAAGTCAGTAGAGCAGGCTTGATTTGAGGAGGCATCAGGCAGCACTCTGAGAGGTAGAGATGCAATCTGCATCAATCAGAGGGTCCTGGCAGGAACCAGATGGCACATTCAAACGGAATAATTCAGGAGAGTTGAAGGAGGAGCTATTTTGAAGGAGAGGGTATTTACAATAGAATCGGTTATTTACAACAGTGTAGGACAACCAACAAGGTCAGAGTTGTAACAGTGGGTGCTATTTCCATCCCTGGCCTGTAGGGTCAAGAGGAATGAGTGGCTGTATGGAGAGGGCTTTCTGGCAGCAGCTGTGACTCTGGGTAGAGAGGAGTGGCCAGCCTGTAGCACCCTGGCCAGAAGGGTGTCGGAAGAGTAGATTCTTCATATTGTTTTCCTTTGCCTTCCAGTTTTCAGCCAGTGCTTTCTCTTGGGGAATCAGACTGGGAATTACAAGGCAAAGGGATCTGTTTATGCAATTCAGAGAGGCCAGCCTCACAAGGGCGCAGAGCAGGGTGGAGAAGGCATGGGAGATGATGTGGATGAGTGGACAGAACATGTCCAGAACACCGGGAAGGCCAGCCCATGTGGAAGGTACAGCATAGGCAAGAGGGAGGGGAGGAGTTGGGAGGGAGGACTTTTAGAATAAGTTATCCAGTGTGGCTCAGATCCAGGCCATAAGCAGAGATGGGTTCATCTTGGGGAAACTCAACTATCAGACTAAGTCCTTCATCCTTGCCTCATTGCCTTACTTTGTCCTTTTTTCCTTCCTTTTTTTCTTTATTTATTTCTTCCCTTCCTCCTTCCCCTCCTCCCTCCTTCTTCTCTT